AATATGATCCGACAACAACATCAAATTTAGTGCTTGCGTAGTTGCTTTTACTAGGCTGTGTACCCGAAGTGTTCACGTGCAGTTGTTGCCCTTGTCGAACGTATTCTTCTGGACTTCTTTTTGGAATAAATAGCCAAGCTGTTTGTAAGATTTTGTGTTTTGTTTGAATCATTTTTATTCTGGCATTTGTACAAAGGCATATTTTATGAGATTTCGCGATCACTCTTTGTGATGAAATAGCGCATTTTGTTCCTAATGAACTAGGCTTTCCAGAATTAGTGAAGATTTTGATGGCCAGTCTTAGCCAAATTCGTACCTAGTCTTTGAACACTGATGTATTGGACGGAGGAGACTAGAATTACAAACTTTGCATGGATATTAAATGAAACAGTGTGTCAAAATTTAAAAAGTTTATTTAGGATGGAAAAAGTAGGTCTAATATCAGGGATTTTTCTCTCTCTATTTCCTGGTCACATCGATAGTTTATACTTAATTGCAAGCAAAAAAATAAAAGTATTGCCAGGATATTACTGGCCCTGCTTGTCTGGCTAAGATGCAGGCAGCAATAAGGCTTTTTTGGAATGTTTTCTATTATTCGTCAGACGCGGCGGCGACCATCATTGGACGCTTTGAAGTGCCTGAGTTACAACTCCTTCTGTGTCCTTCCTCCATGATTAGAACGAACGAGCGTCTACACTTGCGCCAAACGTTGCGTATCCGTGAGAATCGCTCCCAGAGCGAGTTTGACGGCCGAACACAACGCACTCGTGTGTTATGTTGATGGTCAGTTTTTGGTCCGTGAAAGTGGAACACATGAACGCATCGTGTACGCATCGCACCTCCAAAAACGTACATGTGGAAAGGCGCCTTTAACACTGTAATGGGCTTGGCAACGTTTTCAATCCACAAAGTATAAGGAGCTCGTGCTCTATACATAATGCATAGGTCTACATAGTACTAACCGATCGGAATAATTAATCAGGAAATGAAACCACAGCGGTTACAGTCCCATCGTTTCAGTTTCCCAAGCGCATAATAATTTTTTCTCATACCACGTCACGTGTGTCAGATGTAACACGCACGACTCGTGCTGTTTTCAGACTTGTGTTAGCAGTGGTGTAAATCTGTCCCAGAAATTGGGGATAGGGGGTGAAGAAAGGTGGGGGCAGATGACTTGCCTGACCATGAAAATTTGAAAAAAGAGGGGGAATGACACCATTTGACTCTATAAACATGGCGATGTTCATGATATTGATGTACAGCTGTATGTTATGCATTTAGAATGGCATTTTTATGGCTTTTATAAATTCTTTTCTCTTTTTGAGTGATACTGAATGTATTTTACTCGTCGAAAGTCTGAAAATTTGTTTACAATCTGCCTTAGCTTATTGCTCACCACAAAAAGGTGGGGGCTGATTCAATAGCCCATCTCACACCTCAAAAGATATTGGGGATATACCCTCCATCCCGATTTAGGCCTATGTTTGTTAGTATTCTCGGTACTGGATAGTATCACTAACCGAAATTGTATCACAAATTGAACAAAAACACTGCACATGTATTTGGCAAATGAACACGATGTTGCTATCACTTTGCCAACATGTTTCCTTGCTAAACGTTAGGTGTTGAATCCTATGAATACTTAATGACACACGCATTTAGTGTTTTAACACAGTTACAAGATGGTGACAAGAAAGTGTTTGAACGCTAAATACGTGCAGATTTTGCTTTGAGACATAGTAAAATTGTTTAGTGATGTATCACTTGTCATGGTTTAATTAAAAGGTCTAGCCGATAACATTGCACTTCTCTACAATCATAAATCAACCGATAATGGATCAGTATGGGGAGAAGGTGTGAATGTTACAGATTGATTAAAGTCGATATTTACGTTCCACTGCGCAATAACGTTGCTGCACACAATAAAAAAAGCTCTGAAATTAATGAATGACTCAATGGGTTGATAATGGTGTTCATCACAGTTTTCCTTATAGATTCACCAATATGACCCCAACCAAGATTGTAAGTGTGTCATTTCCATACGGACTAGGATGACGTGGAAATGAAGGAAGGCCGTACATTTCAAATTGGTATTTCACCCTAAAGTGATATAGAAATACATGTAGAGTTTAAATGTGCAAATGGTCGTCACATTTCGGTTCTACTGCATTACATAAAAGAAAGTTGCTGCTTGATACCTCCTGTCTAGAATGACAAATGTCGGAGAGGGGCGTGTTATGAAAGGAGTGGCTGAGGAATATTTTGCACTGTGGGACGTTCGGGTGTTACTCGGAAATACGATGATGCTATTGCCTGCATGATAATCTCAATTTGATTCGTGCGGGTTTAATACCATTTGATAGGAGAGTCATGGGGGCCGAAACGATTGTGTTTCGTTGTTTATTCAAAGGGTTTACAGGCGTTAATTTACCCTGTTCTCGTCAGTCACTGATGGAGATCCACGTTCGACTGTTACGCTCTGCTTATTACATGGTATCAAAACTGAGCCATGGAATGTTTCTACAGCACAGTGGATGAGGAAGCCGCACGCGATGCCCATCTTTGGGGAAGAATAAATTGTTGGAACACACTGAAGCTTTAAATTTCACAATACAAGCGATTCATAAAAGAGCGCCTCCAAGAGTTTGCAACGCGTTGAACAATCAGAGTGCGAAATCTGTTGACCCTTTCCAAACGCACATTGGGTCGACAGATTTCGCGCACTGTGATTGGTCAAAGCGTTGCAAACTCGTGGAGGCGCACTATTGTGAACCACGCGTAGGGTATGAATTTTTCACAAGCAAGAACCTTCAATCACACAGCGACGTCCCTGCCAGGGCAAAACCACCATTACCAATCCCCTCTTGCCAATTGGTTAGCACACACAATTTTGGTTAACTCTGCCGTTGTTCATTTTCACATGCATGCTCCAAACTATACTATGTCAATGAGGCATGGTGAAGTTGTGATGTGCTTACAGGACTGGTGTTCGTTAGGCCAGCAGTCCAATACAAAGGGTAAACGGCGGCAAATTGGCAGATCCTAAGGAAGCCCCGAAAACCCTTGCAGCAAGCAGTCGCAGAATAAAGAGACAAAAGAAGTTGCTGTTTCAGTCCATTGTGAAACTGTAAATGATTATAGGGGGATGGAGCTTGTTGAACATTTTCAAAATGTAAGAAGTTCAGTGTCGAATAATGCAGTAGCCAGTGGATAAAGATAAAACTTGGTACTAGACCTCCACGAGGGAGACAATTCTTTCATTTGTTCCTTATCCTTATGTTGTCACAGTGTTCTGAACAAAACCAACCACGACGATTCCGACACGAAACATGGCCGACTCAACATCTGATACAACCGTGGTACCTATGACCGGGGTGGAGGCTGCAGGTAATGACTCGCCGGTGGATGTCACAGACCAGCGAACCATCAAACCCTTCTACGTGCTCCTGAGCGAGTTGAGCAAGGAGCTTTTGAAATGTGAGCTGCAGCAAGCCCGCCTCCTGTGCAGCAATCAAGAAGGGGTGCCAGCTGGCAAACTCGAAACTAAAGACCCAGTTGAACTGTTGAGGTGAGTTTGCGTACATCAACTTCTGAATTGCCAGAGCTGTCGTAAAGATGAAGTTTACGTAAAGTGAAAGAACGATCTCCCCCAAGATTTCTAGACAGACGAGTCAAGGCTCGTGATTGATGACGTGGACGAGTAACAAGCTCACCAAGTCGAGCTCTTCTTTCGCTTTGGGTCGGATAACACACTGTCTTTTTGTCTGGGACTCTCCGTATTTTGGCAATATTGTGGAGATATGATCTCGTCGTATTTTGTGAACGAACTTTTTAGTTGGTTTTCCGTTGCATGTTGATTTATTCCTTAAGGTTAATTTTGGTATTAGGGTGCTGGACGAATGTGGAATTATTGGAGAGGACAACACGCACTTTTTGAAGGAGCTTCTGGAGAAATCCGGCTGCGACTATGGAAGAGTTTGGGTAAGAATGTTTGGAAAGTTAGTTCAGGCCTACATAACAGAAATAGTTTTATATACATGTATACAGATAGTTACGTAATCTGAAGCTATAGTTTTTGTCATTATGAATTACAGACAGGGGGCTGTCCTTGGTATGGTCCAAATAATAGACTGCCATAAATTAGACTCTAGATTTTAATGATCGAACACTGCGTGTCTGGTACTTTATAGAAAACTGAAAAGCTGGTTCCATTTTTTGTGCAAAAGCAACTTAAGTGCCAACTGCATCACAGACAGTAATGCCACTGCGGGTTTTGCAAAAAGCTGAACACGTTCATATCGCATGCAAATAAGAATTGGTACTGCGGCAAGATTTGGTACATTCAGAGAGGAATATTAATTCGGCCAGCCATTGACACTTCGCTTTGATGTTGTTAATTGCCTCCATTCTCCCTTTGTGGCTTTCTCCTTTGTATCAAAAATCATTTGCGAAATGTACATGTTTACCTTAATGAGATATTGTAGAGCCAAGTTAAACGTACGTTTTGCAAAATGGAAAATTGGAAACTACGTTTATTATCAAGATTTTTTTTATTATTAGCCTGTTTGCCTATTTTTTTTTATTTTTAGTTTCTGTAGTCGGTTGGTTTCAACGGTCCTTCATTTCTTACTTTCTCTAGGTTGAAGAATACGACAAAGAAAGGCGAGAGCACCTGAAGAACGTTGAGATCTTGCTTGGACGGAAGGATCCGTTCTTCGTCGGGCGGACCACGTTTGTCAGTCGGATCCTGGAGGTGTTCCGTGACCAATCCCACAAGCGATGCCGCTGCGTACTGGTCTACGGACTTGCAGGCACAGGCAAGACCAAACTGGCTGGGGAGAGCTGCGCAATATACAAAGAACAGGTTCGATCCGGTGCAAGGTGAGTCAGTGAGACAGAAGAGGAGAGGGTCATTTATCGATATTCTTCATCGCTCACTTTTGCGAAATGAAACTTGCATGTTCTTTACCGATGCCACTATGTTTCATCATAGGCTATTCCGTGTCAATCTTCGCAAAGCAACCGAGATGGAAGAAGTTGGGTTATGGATCCTCAACACTGTCACCGGCAAGCAGATCACACAGGGACAGTTTGACATGGCACTGGTTAGGTCATGGATCATGAATTGTTCCCAAGGTATCAAATTCGAGCAATATGTAACGCAAGGGGACAAGACCTAACCCATTCCAATCAGCCCAATTCAACCTAACCTAAGTAACCTAATAATGCATTCAGTTTCAACAGGCCTACTATAGTCCTCATGAACAAGTGAACTTAAACCACACACTGTCGTTAATTATGTTTGCACTCCTGATGCGTGAGAAACTAAGTTTGCCAGCCCTCCCTAAAGACTGTCGAGCTTTATTGTCTTCGCAGATATAAAACATTGCAATTTTGTCTCGCTTCAGATACCATACTGCTGTTGGACAATGCTGATGACATCCTTAATCCGTCGTCCTACAGTAAGGATCACTTTGTTAATACCCTCACCGACCTCCTGTCTATTACCAACCACTTAGTGAAGATCCTTCTTACTTCTCGCCATCCTGTTGATTTCGTGGGCCTCAGGGAGCTCGACAATTTCGTGGAGATAAAACTTGAGCCGCTGCCTGTCAACGAGTCCCTGGAGCTGCTGACAAAGATGGTCACCCATGCTCAGAAACTGTCTGGTCCGGTTTCTGTCGGCGGGGAGGCACTGCGAGATGACGAAGCACTGATCGAGGTCGCCAAGCTCTGTGGCAACAACCCCAAAGCCCTGCGCGCCGTGGCGAGCCGACTGAGCAGTGGGTTCAGCCCTAAGGATCTCGTTGAGGCTCTAGAGTGTCCGGAAGACGCCCAACGAGTATTGGATCCGGGATCCTTAGGAGCTTCAGCCGCCGTTCAAGATGAAAGGAAGGATTTCGAAGATCAGACACTGGTTCTTCACTCCCTCAATGCCATGTACGAGCAGCTCCCTCCTCACCTGAAAGAAGCCCTGTTGAAACTCTCTGTCTTTCCAAGCTCCTTTAGTTTGAGTCAAGGGGCGAAGATTCTCGGAAAGGATCGACCAAGTGCAGCTAGGTTTGATCTGGAAGACCTAAAAAAGTGGAGCCTTGTTGACAGAGATGACTTCAGTATCACTGACACAGGAATGACCGAGAACGAGCCCTACTATTACATGCATCCGTTGGTGCGATCAGTTTGTTTAAGTAAGATACCATCGAACGAGATGTATAAATTAGCTTATGAAGACGCGCTTCGCCGGTTCTTAAAGCACATAGAAGACCTTTTGAAAGAGCTAACTCAGCTGGGCCACACAGACTTTGTCAGAGCGTTAGCAAAATTTGAATCAGACAAGACCAACGTTTTGCACTACTTGGAGCTTGGCATGGGTAACAAGTTTGGTTGTCGGACTTTAGGCGAAAAGGAGAACACCAACTCTCCCATTCCCTTTCCTGAGACAAAAGAGGGGTTGTTTAGCATTTTCGAGACCTTTCTTGATCCCTCTAAACGATTGGAATATTACGAAAATATGAGCATAAGGATGCAGGCCAGCGGAGAACCCGAAGCGTGGGCTTACCTACGAGGGTGGATGGGTGATGAGCTCTACGTTAGGGCCAAATATGACGAAGCGTGGAAGGCAGTTGAAGAACCGCTCAGAGTGTTGGAAACGCGAGCTTCTGGCCCCTCTGGCCGAACGGATGATCTGGAGAGGGCTCGGGCTCAACTTCTGTACGTGAAGGGCCGTATCCTGGTGGCCAAACGCAAGTACAAAGACGGTATTGCTGTCCTGAAGCAAGCCTTGTCGATACAAGAGCGTCTTCTTGGAAATCACACACTCACAGCCCGCTGCCTCAACGGTTTGGGTCATGCCTACTTTACTAAGACAGATGAGTACCGCCACTCAACTGGCTCCGCGGAAGCCCACGAATACCACATGAAAGCCTGGGAGATGCTAGTGAAAATCACTGGTGGCAAACCAGAGAAGCACTTCGATGGGCCCATGTACTTGCTCAACATTGGCGCCACCTTTCATGAGATGGGAAAGAAACGGAAAAGCAGCGACAAGGAGAAGGCTAAGGAGTACTTTCAGCTTGCCATCAAGAATTATGAGGAGGCATATGACCTGGAGAAAGCCCTAAAACTGTCCAATTCTCCAAACACTGCGTTCGTCCTCAAGAACATGGCTATGAGCTACTGTGAAATGGAGGTAAGTGTTGGTATGACTACCGTTGAGGCGCTCGATGGAACAGGTTGTTAAATTTTTCACGACCGTTATACACATATCTCTAAAAATGCACCCCACGTTTCGACGTTGGGAAAAACAGTCTTGTGTATTTGCCATGATAAAATTTCGTGACGGCTGCATGCTGATATCTGGAAGTAAAAATCCAATACGTTTTAAATTAAGTTTGCATTCTTCTAAACTTTAATCCGAATTCAATTTTGCAATGGATGAATCAACAAAAGAGGAAGGGAAGCCGTCTTATTGTAATGTTAAAAGCGGAAATTGCAATATAAATTTTTCAATTATGTGAACTTTAGGAATATGAGAAAGCTGTGCCGTTGGCAACGGAAGCGGTTAACATCCGGGAAGAGACCATAGGCGTGCATCCCACCACAGCCCGCAACCTCTTTTTCATTGGTTCCCTATACGACAGTTTGGGGGACGAATGCAAGAAATTAAAGAAGCCTGAGGGTAAGTGGACTGGCAAATACGTGGTTGTAATGATTTTGTAAGGAAAGAAAACTTTCGAGGGTGAAAGGTTTCGTTCGTTGACGAAAGGCATTTATTCAGTGCAGAGTGATGTATGATAAGAGGATTAGGGACTTTGGGTTAATGTTGACGACGTTTGTAACACTAAAAATCATTTTAAATGTCTGAATGGCATATTTATCCATGTAAATTATGAAATTAGAACATGAGGTTACAAGTACTCAAGATATCAATACCTGCAGATGTGTATTGCTATTTTTAATAAGTTACTTGATATGTATTTGATTCGTCCTGTACAAGCTACACTAAGTTTACTAATTGTTACAATATTAAAATATTGCCTGTACACATTTTTCTAGAGAGCACAAAAACTGAATGTCCGACAACAACTTCTTCGAGAAACTGCACACTGAACAATGTTGGACGAATATGTTGGGAAGTTCATCAGATTGTGATGGGGATGGGCCAAGCATCTTCTCTAAACTACTGTCAAATCTCTTCTCTACCCTTCTGTCCTGTCAAATATCTTCTCTACCCTACTGTCAAATCTCTTCTCTACCCTACTGTCAAATCTCTTCTCTACGCTTCTGTCAAATCTCTTCTCTACCCTTCTGTCAAATATCTTCTCTACCCAACTGTTTTATCCCTCCTCCACCCTACTGTGAAATCTCTATTTTCACCACATTCAAGCAACAAATTTCCTGTGCCGAATTTTTGAACAGAAGGACGTGCTGTGTGCAGTCATCACCGTCAGTACATAATGCGAATTCATCCTCTTTTCACACGTCCCAGACATAAAGAAGGTTTCGGAGAACTACAATAAGGCGCTGGAATTCTACAACAGGGCCTTCCGCATGGAGGTCAAACTTGGACCGTCCAACCACAGCATCGAGTACGATGACCTAAAGGAAGATATGAAGTGCCTACTCGGGAAGATGCACATGGATAGGGAGTTGGACAACTATCGCAGGATGTTCAAAGTGAGTACGGGTATATAAAGACTTGAGTTATCGATTATGGATGATAACAGTGACAGGGACCAAGCCTGATACTGTAAAGCAAGAGTTGAGGTAGAAACTTTTTAAAGCAAGAAATTTGTGTGAGCTGCGAAACGAGAAGCCACTGGAGCGGAATGACAATTAATGACGCAAGGGGATGCGACAAAAGCTTACGATTGACTGCCCACAGATTTATGGCATGCTGCTCCGTACTGAAAATGGAATTTTGGTGTTTAATACAAAATAGAAGGATACTCAAGGTAGCTACGAAAGCCTCGAAACAGGAAACCGAGGAATTGGCCTAATTGCATTTTGATAATGGGGCTTTTTACATTCGGTGAGTAGGGTAAACCAACACTATTCAATGATAAATTTAAGAGGTTGTTCCACATAAATTTATTACTGGTACTCAAATTTGTCAAATTATGTAATGCAGAATACGTCAGACCTTGGATTTGAAGATAAACTGTAGAACGTCCGTATACACAGACCTGCCAACCAGTCGTACTCCTTCCTGAGTCAGGTACACACAATAGATTAAAAGATATTTAAAGGAGCCCTCAGTTCATTTAAAATTCTAATCTATTACATATGTGGTGATGCCTGACCTCAGGAAGGAGTACGACTGGTTGGCAGGTCTGTATACATAATAATTAAGTTACCGTTTCGGCTGGTACTATACTAGAAAAATATTACCTCAACTGGTCACGTTGTGATCATGCACGTGATGTCACTCGATATGTCATCCACCAACTCACATCTTTGTACTGATTTTGCAAAAAAAAGTCGAATAGAGTGGAAATTACCGAGAGGGCTTTTTTCCTCCCAAAAATTAGGAGTGAGGAATGAATGACAATATATTGCGTTTTTGAGGGAATAAGCTTCATTTGGAAACCTGTTGTTTATAGCACGAGATATATCCAGTTGGCCATCTGAGACATTACAGAGGGTTATTGGTGACGTATCTGCGGTATTGGTTCCCAAGGGGCGCAATGTTAAATGTAAGCTCTTTCACTGTCCAAAATATTCAACCGTAACACATGTTAATCAACCCCTTCTCCGGGAAGGCACTCTCACCATTTCAAAGGCATGGACGAATTTATTTTCTAAACGGAACAGGAAAAAGCAACATGTCTCTGGGCAGGGGCGGGAATCCCCTGTCCTTTGCTGGATATGACAATGGCATTCATTACATACCACAGCGTTTGTAGTACTGTCGACCCATACCTTTTACATCTTGCTATTCTCAGAAAGCGGATTCCGGCACTCTCCACTTCGAAAATGAAGGCGTGGACTCCACGTCTGAATCAGGAGATGTCTCCCCGTCCCGGAAGCGGTCTCCCCGGGCGAGGGACCTCGAGGAAGGATGCGCCGGGGTCGGCCACGATGGTGATGAGATGGCCGGACCCAGCAGAGGGCGGGCACCAGGTAAGCGTTTGCACTGTAATGTCATGGAGGAAAGACACAGTTTACGAAACGAGTGGCTCAGGCTTAGTCTTCGCTGGTTCTAGCCATATGAGGAGACTCCGACCATGCCAACTGGAACCAGTGAAGCCAAAGACTAAGCTGAAGCCATCTGTTTCGTAAATGCCCATAGAAGGAGTTTGAACTGCCGGGGTATAACAGGCCAATTACCGTTTCTGGCATGCCCGGTATGTCATAGCCAGAGCGCAGCGAATGCATGCTACGCACCACCTGTTTCACAACCATAAGCCCCATTTGTACCTCATGATCGTCGCTGCAATTTTTCGCTCGTAATCTCCATCCTTGAAACGTCGTGTACTGCAGTATAGGAAATCGAATGTTCATGCCATCGTTGGTGCTTGATATGATCTGACATCAACGTCAAATTTAATACTTGTGCAGTTGCTTTTGTTAGGCTGTGTACCTGAATTGTTAACGTGCAGTTATTGCCCATATCGAACACTTTCTTCTGGACTTATTCTGGGAATAAATGGCCATTTTGTTTATAAGATTATTTTGTTTTATTTGAAGTATTTTTATTACAGAATTTATACAAAAAGGTATTTTATAAAATCTCATAACTCCTGATGAAACAGCGCATTTTGTTTTTCGTGAACTTAACTGTCCTGTGGTGGTCAATTATGTTGGCCAATCTTAGCCAAATTCGTACAAAGACTTTGAAAAACTGATGATTTGAAGTGACTAAACAAAATTACAGACATTGCATGGACAATGGAAAAGTGCAACAAAAAATCTTTGAAAATTAGTCACGATAGCAAAAGTAAATCTAATGATAGATAGTTTTCTTTCTACTTCCTGGTCACTGCGAGAAGTTGTAGTTAATTGCAAAGAAAGCACCACAAATTTTGCTACAATATTACTGGCCCACTTGTCCAGCTAAGCAGCAGGCAGTAATCAGACGATATTGGAATGTTTACTATTGTCCGTCTGACCAGGCAGCGATGGTCATCGAGCGCTTTGATGTACCACAGTTCTAACTCCTTCTTGTCCTTCCTCCATAGTAATCAGAAAACCCACATTAGACAAAAAGAAGGTATAGTGTAAAAGAAGCGAGGGGCAAATGTTGCACAATCACATACAGGGCAGAAGGGTGTTCTGAAAACTGTGACTGGGGTTTTATTAGATATCCCGGCTGATGCATACTGATGCGCACGTGATTTTTAACAAAATGCAAAAGATATCAGTGGATGTTAATACATGTATGTGGCAAACGGGGACCCCTTAGTGATGCATAAGCTCTACCTAAGGCTATTGTGCCTACTTCATCCTCCCTGAAAATCTGAAAGGAATTCCAAAGATTCCGTCAACAGAAAAGAAGACACAGTAGAGGGGTCCCCCCTTGTCATGGGCGGAAATCGTCCTCCATCGTGGAGGGACATCCATTTACTTTTTTGTGCACACCGTGTTGGTTATCTTATTCCATTTATAAAAACTGAAAAGGGAAAACCCTCCATCCACTCTTTTTCTTTAGTATTTTGTTTTGCTTAAAATATGGAGGGGACATTCGACATTGTGCCCCCGTACCAAAATCATGGGGGGCGTGTCCCCTCTGCCCCCCGGGATTTTCGCCCATGCCCTTTGCTACACATCGTGCGTTAAATGTTAACTTTGGCACATTGTACAGTGCAAAATTTACTCCCGTTTAAACACTCACAGCAAAAGCTGTCATGATGGCGAGATTAAGCTGTCTCTAACGACCAGAATTTACCTTTCACCGAGACAGGATGCAGTGTTTTCAAAGAGCTCATGACAAAAAATCCACGCTTTCTGAAGTGGTATTTGAACCAATGACCTCCTGCTTGGTACTGCAAACGTCTTACCACTCGAACACGGAGCTAGTCAAGGCTAAATTGTTGGTATGAATCGATACGGCACTGTGCCGCTGGAATGGCTCGACCACTAATGAAACGTCAGTGTTATAATTATATGCATGTCAGGATAAGGGTTAGTTTCTGCTACCATGACCAGTTCCCCCATGCATGGAATGTTTTCAGTGCACTTTGTTTCCTGTGAGCATCCAAGATCTAACCCACTACGGACCAGTCTGTATGTCTTTACTTCATTTGGTATTGGTGTCTTGTTTTGCCTGCTTATAGGTCCTGTGTTTCCAGACGAATATCCAAGCAAGCGCTCCAAGTGCAGCCTGTCTTGAGTGGCACCATTCTATGGCCCTCGTTCATTATATTATCCTTGAAGATCAGTACAAGTGGGGCTTACTGCTGCGGCCGCCGTCTTAAAAGTATCATTTTCACCTAAAACGGAGTGTGAAAAAACCGTATTGTAACCTATTCAGTGGGCTATCATGTCTTAAGAATGACTCTTGATTTTGTTAGACTTTAGGTTTGAGAGCAAAATATAAAGATAATTGGTCATGCAGTGAAATTCATGCAATGCGTTGTTTTCTGTTTGTTTTGTTTGTTTTTTTTTGTTTGAGTCAAACTGAATTGCGTGCTTTTCCAAAATGAGATTCCCAAAAACCTGCTTTGGAATATAACAAATTAGCTTATATATCCTAAAATGAAACACTTAATAAAATCATGTTCATTTTCATATTGAATTAGAACAAGGTTTTAACAATATTTAGTGTTCTTGTATGAGTGAGGGGATGAAGCAGCATTTTAACCTGTTTAAATTTGTCCTGGATGTATATTTCCTGTCCTAAAGTAGTTTTTATAAAAAAAACAGCTTGTATATTTGTCTTTCAGTTATTATTAGAACCAAAGTTTCGGTGTAGAGATGCAAGAAACTTATTAATTTTGTTATTTTTCAGAGTATCAAGAAATGACAAGTGAAGAACCCTTAACTTTTAAATTGATTTTCCTTCCGAGTTAAAAAATTGAAACTGAAATTTTTCTGGAAAAAAGTACTCGCTGACATAAAATACGCCAGATGGTCACAAACAGCCATAAAACTTTTCTCATAAATAAAATTCTAAAATGAAGGAGATAAATGGTTACGATTTAGAGTGGGTACCAGTTGACAGGCCGTATCTGATTAAACTGGTTTTTGCTATTAGTAATACATGTAACCGTGTCCTTGGGAAATACCCAGCAACCAGTCATGGCCTCCGTAGTCACACCTGAGCGTGAGATGCAAGTGATTTTGCAGCTAGGGTACCTGATTCCCATCGGGATCTTCGTCATGTTCTTTGGAGCTAATTGTTAAATTCTATTTTGCAAATACCAAAATCATTCATATTCATCAATCATGTATAGGAACGTTTTGCCGCATTTTCGGGATGATCTTGTGAACAATTTGGAGCGCCCGATCAATGCACATAGCCTACATCATGACCCAAATAACGGAGAAAGTATTTATCAGCTATTGCTAGAGAAAGCGTTGTGAAAGCTTTTGTTTCCACAGTTACTAGGGCCACCGTTAAGGAGTCATTAACAGCATTTGTTGTTTAAATTTAATGGCATAACTCGAAAGTGATATCACTAAGAATACCATACAGTACTGAGATTCTCTGTAGAGTAACTGTAGACGTTTTACGGAGGCTTTAAGGGGAGATGATGAAAAAATTAAACAAAATAAATTATAGCGTTAATTCATATAAAAATCTCGTAATTATAATTTGCATTAAGTCATAGTTGTGACATGTCTCATGAAGTTCAATCTCATAATTATTTCTTCGGAAAGTATGTTATTGATATGGCGTCTAGCTGCCATCTGCATTTGCATTATTTTTGCACTGAATTACAATGTCAAATTTCACTTGCTTTCGCTTAGTCATAATTACGATATGGACCCCTAAATATGACTAAACACTAAGTCATAATCATGACACGTAAGTCATCATCATGACTATGCCCATGTTTTAGAAATTCATCATGTCCCATGCTTCTGAATAATTCAAATTTAAGAGAAAAGGGTTTTCTCATAGGGTTTCGTGCGATTTGAATCCGTGTTTTCCGTTTAAGCTAGTCTTCATTCTACAATTTGCGTTTTCAGTACTAGATTCAGTACTACTTAGAAGAATGATATTCGAGCGAGTGTCATACATAATTATTACATGTATATCCATTTAATTTAAGGAGTCAACCAGGGGAGTTTTGAGATTTGATGGACAATAGAACACCCCTGCCTCCTCAATCGTAAGTCGTAATACTCAGAATGATGCTTTTATAACAACGATGCATTTGGTCTTTGTGCATGAAAACACTTGAACCAAGTAAATAAAGTATTCATTTGCAATCTGTGTTGGTTGTTGAATTTTTTCCTTTCAGCTTTTTAACTATGTAACATCCTACATATACACAATTTCCTTCTTTGACCATCGACCCTTTCACTACTCACCGGCCTATTAACCCTTGAAAAGCGGGTCTTTTTTCAGACCAATTCACAGCCGGGGCAGAATCTGACCCCTAGTTTTCATCAGCTTTCCCATGCCCAACCTTTGTGAAACTTGGCGTGCGTACAGGTACCTCTGGTCTGTTAAGTTCGAATTTAATCCAGTGAACGGTTTTCTTGTTATAGTCATTTAAGTTTATGGCCATGCTTGCGTCAGACCACATGTACTGAGCACTTTAATCGAGAAAGTTAACATTTTTGGCAGCCTCAAGGGCAGATCCATAACCGAATTTTCAGGGGGGCTATAGCTGTTTCTTGAGCCAAATATTTTGAAAATTTTGGCATATAATCTTTTACCGGCAAACTTTAGATTCACAAAGGCAGACATTAATTGTAAAAGTTTTTGTCAAATGTTCCACACAGGCTTGAGACTCTTCACATGACAAACAATCTATTTCAATTTTCTCGAACCAGATAGGTTTTTGCAACTTCAAGGTAAAAATTTCAGGTTACATGCATGATGTCTCAATGTGCAATTCACATGAAGATTTGATGTGGACAATTCCATCCAGGTTGACGTCACTGGCTCCTAGTTTGGGTGTCTTTAGAAAATCTGAGAGAGCATGCAGCTTGAAATTCCAAATATGATTGTGTTTACCGTTTGGTATGCAGGTGAGCGTATCACCTGACCCTGATGACGATGGACTCCCAGCAATTTCCCATGAAATTAAGGAAAACACAACCTCCACTGCAGCTGCTGATACCTCCATGTTTGTCGTCAGCACTAGCGAATGCAAAGACGTTGGAAGTGATCGGTTGAACAAGGCCAGTACCAGCAGAGTGGCCGACGCTTCCCCCAAGAGGCCCAAGTCATCAGCATCGGTGCATTCCAGTGCTTCTGGCAGCTCTGCAAGTTCCAGCGGCTCCTCCAAGGTCAGGCAAGAAAAAGTCCAAGAGGCCCCTGTCCGGCCTTTGCTGCTCCATTGCTGTTGGAGATGTTTCCCTCGTAGTGGCAAAGGATAGTGAAGGTCCAGATCCAGGGACGTCTACTTCAGCGGCCCCCAGTCCTGCAGTGAGTCCCGCCGCAACTGGCAGAGCCAACCTTGCGCACTCCGAAATCTCCGGAAGTCTCAAGAAAGATGCCAATCAGAGTGGAGAATCTCCAGATGCCAAACCTACGGAGTTTCAGCAGGAAACTTCCCTGGGGTCTGACACCGAGCCCCCTGACCCTCTGCTTGTCCCTTCAGTATGGGTGGAGCCCAGCAAGAGCACTTCGAGCCTGAAGAAGAAAATTGGGGCCAGTAAAGGAGAGGAGATGCTTCTGCTCGAAAAGAGGACTCCACGCTCTGACAATCAGGATGATTCCGACCAAAACCAGGTTGGTGGCACCACTATTTGGCAAATATAATATAATAATAATAATAATAATAATATTTCATGTTTAGGATTCTCCTAGAGGTTATTTCCTTGAATACATTGACATGAATGAATATTTTAATATCTTGACAGTCTCTCTCCCCTGCAGCATCCATGATGAAATGCTTTTCCAAGTTCAATCTACATGACATCTTTGAAGTTTGAAAGCCCATTTTGGGTGCATGGCACCACTTTTCGTTCAAGAACTTCAAAAGTCGTTCTGCTTTAGAAATTGTTAAAGAGGAACCCCCTGAACTGAGCCTGAACAAATGATATGATTGATATATAAATCAATATTTTACACGTTATTTTGTCTTCTCCACAGACTGCTGGAAGCCATGAGAGCTTCAAGGATTTCAGAGACACGGTCAAAAACACAAAAAATTCCACAATTAAAACACGTAAACCGATAACAAGTGAAAGAATTTCACAGATGTCAAGATTGTTAATCCCCCTTTTGTCCTAAACGTCGCCAATTTGGAGTGTGATCAAATAAGCCCTTTTTATCGAATATGCCCCTTTATAAGAGGATAAAATCTTACAGGATCACCGGACAACTTGTATCCAACAAAAATCTCTCCATATTAGCAAAAACATACAGCGTGTGCAGATTGCCAAAATAATAATAGTAAAAAACTTTGATCTTCCAGTGCCCCTTCAATCAGAATTTGTACAAGTCTCTTTAATTTCGCCCAACATTATAACGTGTAAAGAGGCAGACCACCCAAAGACTGTATGGTGTTATACGATCTTTACTGCTGCCAAAATTCATTTTTCCTTTTACATACAGCCAATTTAGTAATTAATCCAGGTCATCTACACAAGCTGAACTGAAATTTGCTTGTTAGTCATATCAGATTTCTTAAAATAGATCACTAACAAGCAGTAAATTTTACCCAATACATTTGAAACCTATAATATATTTGGCATATCAGCCAGCTAAAAACCATTCACGTGAGCTTTATTGAAATATACATGTTGGTATTATCCTGTACCCAGAATTAACATTGTATCCTACAAACAGTAAGATTCAGATCTCATATACTGAAGTTACTGTAGTTAATAAACTGTTTTCATGAGCAATGGCATATTCCACGAATTGTGTTCTGTACTTAATTGAAGCCAAGTTTAAACAATCAACAATGTTGTAGAATAAGGGTGATCTTCCCTCAACATTTATTTTGTTTTATGGTTTCGGTTTGTTTGTGTTGCATCTCTCTCCGTCAAGCGGGTGCAAAGTGGCCTGGAATGCATACTCAAGGCTGGCGCTGAGAGTTCCAAATTTGGAATGGAAAAAAAATAGCGAATCGACCACTGCTTTACTTGTATTCATAGCCCCATTTTGTAATTTACTTCCAACAAGACAACAGTGATATTTGTCAATAGGCCAACAAAACCCAAGCTATGCATCTGCACCTCCCTCTTTCCCTTTTCTTTAATCTTCCATGTAGGCAACTTCTATCTGCATGCATATGCATATTGGATTTGGGCACCATTATCTTCCTTTTTTCTCGTGTAATATCACTGGTGAAAATGTGCCAGACCGTGTTTGCACAAATCTCTTCTGTTTAGCAAAAATATCGGAGTCCCACTACTGTCATTACTAGCCAGATGAGCAACAAATAATGTAAAAATGTGCTGTACATAAAAATCAGCTTATTATAAAAGTTCTGCCTATTTAAATGCCAACATTACACATAGTTACATGTATTTGCAGAAGAAGACTTTTTAGCTCAGCATAATCCGTAAGAAATGCCCATCAACTATATTCCATCCCTCACCTGTTAAGACCATTTTAACATCTTGGCTCAAGAGCAATCATAACCTCGTGCAAAGGTTTTAAGGCAAGTGTCAGATGAGGGACCGGCTTGGGCTCACCGTCAACTAAACTCAGTCGGAACTGCCTCAAAATTCGTCCCACCAACACTTTGATTTGGTTATAGGCAAAGTGCTGTCCGATACAGTTTCTGGGGCCAGCCGATAATAGCAGGTAGCTGAAGGGGTCAATCTTGAAATTCTCCGGCAGGAACCGAGAGGGCTTGAAGTCCTTGTGGCCCTCGCCCCAGACCGTTGGGTTGTGATGGAGCTGGTACATGTTGAAAGCAAATAACGTGCCCAGTGGAAAAATGACGCCGTGTACATCGTAAGGCCGAGGGGCTGTCAGCGTGCGGGATGGTAGAACAGGAGGAGGGTACATCTTCAATGTCTCTTTGATCACTAGAGACATATACTCCATGTGGCTCAGCTCTTCGCTGTAATATATATAGCCAAACGAGTGACAAATTTTATACTTTCGCCCAATTTACACAAAACGTGGTAAAGAAGGGGTAAGCAGAGATACACCTGGAGGACTTTCTCTGATTGAGTGTAGAAATGATTGTCTGGTTAACTTAAAAAGGAACAGTGGTAACGATGCAGTATTGACATCACTTGAGTGCTGTCTTAAGATTCTGTCTGAGTCTGTCTTCTCTAGTATCTTGTCCACTTCCTCTCTGACTTTTATCTGGTGTTCAGGATATCTAGCCAGATTATACAGCACCCAGGTAGTGGTAGTAGCCGTGGTTTCATGGCCAGCGAACAGGAATATGTTGACTTCGTCAGTCATTTCCTGGACTGTCAGCCCTTTGCCGTTGGTATCGTGAGCCAGGATGAATGTGTCCAAGAAATCACGGGGCTTGACAAAAAACGGAGCTTGTGGTTGTGAAACAGGTAATTGTGTGGCAAGCCTTCTCTGCGTTCTGGCTATGGACATACCAGGCATGCCACAAAGCTGTAATTGGCCTGTATAGCCCAGCCAGTTCAAACTCATTCTGTGTCCTTCCTCTATGGTACATATGAAGCAAACTATGGGACAGAGAGAACCCTCTGCCTTTGTGTTTGTCATTGTTATACTGATATCATTTCAATTTACAAATCTTTTGGCCAACACCGGAGGAATGGCTATCATTTAGAGGTCGGTGGCCGACCTTTTCCGGAAGCAGTTGGTGCAATCGACAGTACTTTCCACGAAATTCAGAGACAATTAACACAGCCACAACACGAATTTTACAATGGATATCCTCGTTTTTACTGCATGAGCATCCAGATAAACAAGTTCATTTTCTCATGTAATTTTCAACCTATACAATATAGTTCTTTCTCTGATTACTGTAGTAAGACATGGGCAATTTTATTTGTCAATTTGCAGCATAGAATTAGCTTCGTGGGCTAAAAAAATGAATTCGATTGAAAGTAACTGAATTCATCAACAATTAAAGGGCAGCGTAGTAATTCCAACTTTGGTTTCACCATTTCAAAGGGTATTTGGATGCCTTTTCGATTTTTATGCTGATGAGATTTGCATATTCAGGATAAAACTGTGACGTCATCTCAGGAAGAAGCCTCAATGTTACATTGGTTTGTACACCAAAACGTCCTGTGTCTTTGTAGATTTTCCTGGACCAAGTTTTTCTTCTTTGCTTATCATAGTTGTTTATATGTGCATAGCAATAAGAAACTATCAATACCTTTCCCAGAAATGCTCTCCATTGGTAAACTCTGGCTTCACATTTGAACAGAAATATGTATGCACTGTGAACCATGTCTTCCCTGGATGACTTCACAGCAACAGCGCCCTGAGTTGTCTAGGGAAACATTGGTTATTTTTATTCTTTAAAAATGTGCAGTTTTCAATGCATCAAGCCAAGTAGGAATGTGCAAGAGTTTTCATACATTGAAGAAAAGTACAAAGATGCGGCAAAATTGTGTCGAAGAAAAATTCATTGTAGCTACACTTTAACGCATCATAGCTTCCTTTGTCCTGTTCGGTACCCCCAACAAGTCCAATCCCTGTACGCACTCCAGCCTATTGTCACTTAATTAACACATCCCCTAGATGTCTGAACAGATTCCTGAGATACCAGTATTACCCAACAAAGGCGAGGGGGGGGTCTTTCTGTCCCACAGTTTGCTTCATTTGTGTCCGTACGCGTGCCTCATTAAAGATATGCAGTGGGATGCATTTGCCGTTCCCACATGAAACGTATCTTCTTGGTGACAGTGGATAAGCAAATGACGAAATTCAGAGCAAATCAAGTACAGCAAGTTCCCAATAATGATGACCGCACGCCAGGTGTAGAATTTACGTCGAACATGTCATGGCATATTCCAAAACAGATAGAGCTGTGAAGGATGTGTACCGACACCCACATTAGATGATACAACAGGCATTAGATGATGCCTGTTGTATCTGAACTGTGTGCCTTCTTGGCGCAAAGACATAACTACTCTGAGGAAATTCATTAAATAAAGGTGATAACCTGAAGTACTCCGAGCTTCTTTATGTAAATTATTATAACTTTATTATGACTGTTCATACTTTTTGCCCTGCTTCAAACAACAATCCCATTCAGTATCTCGGACACGTGCTCCACGTGCCCGAAAACATTTTGGGGGCCAAGTAATCTTCTTTTTCAAAAGTTACGGGGGACACTTTTAATGCTAATGGCTGGCCAGAAATTCTCACTTGAATTAGTGGACTGCACCCTAGTAGCATGGAGCAGAGTTCACGGAGTAGCATAATCACTCGAAGGTTTCAGTACAGCGCCATCGCGCGCAGTCTAGGGGTGCAATGAACTCATTCGAGCTCCATTGAAAAAAGTGTAAAATCAACAAAATTTGGAGCCCAATGGCAGACAACTGAAGTGCCTGAGGCCTCTTAAACAGAAAACAATGTGTTCTTTGGTCCTTCAGATTTCATTTGATTTTCAATTTTTATAGTAGGTTAACCAATGAATTTTTAAATTAGGCCTATCTGCCAAAACAAACTCACCCCCTCCCCCCAAAAAGGGAAGTTGACAAATTTTCAATCACATTTTTGTCTGATTTGCCCTCAGATGGGTGCCCCTGAATCTACAGAGATGATCCTGGGCCATACTTACACAGACCCCTCTTTTCGAAGAATCGGTTTAAGCGCTTCGTTCTGGCGGAAAATTTTCCTTGAATTGGGACACTGCACACCTAGCTTCAGGGCCTTTCCATGACTAGTGACCTTTGTACTTACCTTTGTAACAAACGTGACGTTCACGAATGTACATGTACTTGTCTCGAAATTCAGTGTCATAGGTGCCTACATGTACAGTGTACATACATGTAGGCCCTACACGTACCTAACTGCTGACAGTTTGAAAGGCTGTGGTTGCACTTAGCTAGATCAGACATTAATTCCAAGATGCTGTGGCTATCGCTGTGCGTAGTGTTGGGAAGCATTTTTTTCGTTCGCATACTGTCATTCTTTCAAAGAACCATAGAAATTCAACGTGCCATCAAAAAGCTCCCATCCCCACCGGGAGCGCATTGGCTGGCGGGACACCAGAAGCAGTCCCCATTTAGCCCCGGCCTGCAATGGCAGCGGGACACGGTGGCGGCCTTCCCCCGTGCCTACACACTGTGGCGTGGGTTCATTCCGATTCCTGTCCTCGTCCACCCAGACACGCTCAAGTCCCTGCTGGCCAGTCCCACGGGCTCGGTCAAGTCCAGCTTCTACAGCCTGTTCCGGGACTGGGTTGGGGAGGGCTTGGCGGTCGCAAACGGAGCCAAGTGGAAGAGAAATCGGCGCCTCCTAACGGGCTCCTTCCACTTGGATACTCTGCGGACCTATGTCCCCGCCTACAACGACTGTGCCGAGGTGCTGCTGGGCAAGCTGAACCGACTGGCTGCAGAGGGAAAACCCATGAGAACTGATCATGAGCTGGGCTTGTGCACGTTTGATGCCATACTTCGAACTGCTTGCTCCCACCAATCTCATTGCCAGGTACGTACCTGTACCTGTACTGTATGTACATAGGCCCAAACAAGTCATGAAAGAGAAGCTGCAATCAATATTTTAATAATACAGACCTTCAAAATAAACCTTTGTTTAACTGTTTCAAAGGATATTTTATTGTCTTTTGTTTTATGCTAATATATGTCCATATTTATGAACAAAACTTTGATGTTACCTCCGGAAGAAAGTTTCAATTTTAGTGCATGCTGCCGAATATTACATCGGTTTGTGCACTCAGAGTCCCACATTTGTGTCAATTTTAAACATTTATTCTTCATTCGAAATAAAAGCATGTACACATAACCCAGGTCATGGTTTTCAAAACTATAACACTTGCAGGATATAGTCACACCCCTACGAAGACATACTGCAAGTGCATTTTAAAAACTACTACAAAACCATTAATACTTTTAAGTGATTCCACAAACTTAGAATTTTATGGAGAGATAGTAAAATAAATCGAGAAATTACGTGCGAATTTTGCTGGACATAATTTTCTCTGTTTTGTTTGTATATTGTTAATGTGCATAGCACTAAGCAAAAATCACTCCCTCTCTCAGAATTAATGTGTTCAGCAATTCAATTCTGGGTTTACAGTTTCAATAGAAAATCTATATGCACTGAATTATGACTTTCCTGGATGACATCGCCGTGTGACGAGTGCAACTCGTCGCCAATACTAAAAGGTGATTGATGGTCACGACTATCAATTTCCAGATAGTCGACGCCTCATGCGTCGACTAGTCGGACTGTGCTACGACTAGTGGCTGGAAATGGTAGCCCTCGGTGCCCGCGACTGTACATGTACCTGTAAGTGCCGCGACAACTGTGCAGTGGAGTACCCGCCAAGCCCCGCAGACGCAGAGCGTGGAGCGCTGCGCCACGTGTGCATGGAGCAGCCACACGCTGCCCATATATAATACCCATGTAAAGTTTGTACACCTAGCTTAGCTAGGCGGTTCGCACACGCTACACAACTTCATAGTTATGAGTGACCACCAATATCTGGTCTCCTGTCTCGATGGTATTGTCATGGCTATTCCTTCCTCCATGGTATTCGCAGTCGTGCAGCCGCAACTTAGGCTGCATCCGAATCTCTTGTCTAGAGCTTGGTCTTGGTATTCACTTCATTGGAAATGCATGGAGACGCGCAGACAATAGACCTAGCCGTAGCTCTGGAAGCCCGTTTCGGACACGGCCTTGTGGGCCCGCGGTGCCCGAGCATCACAGCCGCAGCTAGTCGAGTCCACTCTGGACATGATTAGACTAGACACAGCGCAAACATGATTCCTTCTTTCTTGAAGATATTATTATTATTATTCAGGGTGAGGTTGACAAATGATAAAAATAGCTGAAAACAGCTGAAAAAAGACATAAAGAAGCTGAACTGCGAAAATGTCCTATACTTTTGTACACAGCCGGTGAGGAAAAAAAGTTGAAATCCAAAACAAAAAAAGCTGAAATCAGCTAAAAAGCTGAGAAATCTCACCCCTGTATTATTGAGCGGGGCCTTGCATCTGTGCTTTAAGCTTTGGAATTATTGCGTGTTAATACATGTCTGTGAAGTAAAAAAAGGATTTGCAATGAATGTACACACCGGGATCATTTGTTGTTTCTGTATTTAATTTGTAATGTATAAACATTTGTGAAATAAAAAAGTTTGGTATGCATATGGTAATAATTTCTTTCATTGCAAAATGATTTAAAAATATTTTACTCGATACAAGTTTTCCTTCTGTTGTTTTTTAAAAAGAGTTGTATCCCTCCCCTTGAAGAAAATGGAAGTGTCCGAGTCATGTGAACGTGACTGACCATCCAGGACGCACCTCGCCTGTCTACATGCATCATGCATGATTGTAAACTCATTAGCATTCAGGTGAACCTTTCACGTGCGCTGCTTAAGTACATTGTATGCATGCAGGCAGCGTACACGTACATGTACATGTACATTAAACACAACGAAAGTGCTTAGCGCCTGGGGTAAGATAAATCCGTGTTCTGCGTGAAACTAGTCTGTCGGAACGTGTACGTTGTAGGAATAGTTACTTTTATATGAAATTTCAAGCAGTTTAATTTTGTCTCGCTGCCAAGAACACAGGAGAGGTTTGGAATTTTGGACGTAAGCTGTCGAAATGGAGACTCTCAAAAGTGGCAAAACATGCGTTGATGTAAAAATATATTTGAAGCCTTGATTCTTAAAATTTTACAAAAAAACTGAAGTTGCAATGGCGTAACACTCCGAATAAGCGTGGCAGCTAGGACTGTGCATGAGTGGGGTCTGCACGGGCAACGAACCACAAAACTACGTGGACCTAACATTTCTGGGAAAACTCGCTTCGCATGAGTGTATCGTCTCTTGTGAGAGCTGTGCAAACTCGAAATAGAGACCGTGATTAAGACGTAGTATCCATGAAGCAATTCAGCATACAAGGCACTTGTAAACGACATTTTGATCTGTCTTCGTCAGGTAAAAATGTGAGAAAAAAGCGTTGAAAAAAAGTCGCATTGTTTATCTTAAGGACTTTCATACCCTGGACGTCGGTTAGTCAAAATGTAATGTAGACGTCGTCCAATATGGGCTACTGGTGACCAACAAAAGCGGGCATTGCTCCTACATTACTCTGGCCCTGAAGTAATGGACATCTTTGAGACTCTATCGGACACTGGTTCTACATATGAATCAGGGCAAGATGGTCTTGCAAAATACTTCGAACCGAGCAAGAACATCTAGTATCAACGCTTGGTTTTTCGCGAGGCCAAACAACACGACAGCGAAACTGTCGCAGACTTTGGCAACCCGCCCAAAGTCACAAATCATCCATGGTTGTACCTCATTAAAGCTGAGACGCTAAGCACTTCGCGAAACGGAGCTCAGTCTCCGAGTCTCAAAGCTTGGAGGACGGACACAAACGTTTGTGTCCTTCCTCCATGCTCAAGTTGCTAACCACAGTCCCAGCCTACGAACTGCTGACAGCCAATCCAAAGTCATGGAACAGCATTCCCAGAGCGCAGCCAACCGTATAACTGCAAAGCCTCATGAAAAGGGACGTGGTTCGAGCAGGGCCTCACGCTCGATCAAGCCCAGACGCTCTGTACTCTGTCGCACCTGTGGAGGTATGTTTCCTCACAAACAACAATGCCCAGCCAAAGGTGTGACATGCCACTCGTGTGGTAAACTCAATTATTTTGCCAACAATTGCCTGAGTTGTGGCAAATCAGCCAAACTGCAGAGTAAAAGCCGGATGCATGCAGTTGATGACACTGTTGCTACCACAAGCTCATGTGACGATGAGTATATGTGTCGGAGTATCGTCATCGCCAAACATCCGGTTATCGCAATAATATGTTAAAGACTTTGAAATGAATTGTTTCGTAGTTGAATGCGAAACGATTTTTGTAGTCTTTGGAGATACATTTGGGATAAATTTGAGCATCATTTTACATGATCAACTACACGTTGGAGGCTGCCATGACAATGAAAATGGTATAAGAGAACACTGTTTCTTGTTTTCTTGTGAAATGGGAAGGGTGCCTTCTTTTAAACCTAATCTTCTGACTTGCTATACTCTCACATCTCTAGCCCCCCTAATTATATTGTGCCCCTTTACAAGTGGCCAATGAGTATCAAATTTTTTCTCGAGCATAGGTTTGTAAAACACCCAAACTACATGAGACTCAAAAATCGATCCTGGTATTGATAAAAGTATCGATTCTTGCTGACTATTGAAGAAACATAATCGACACCCTTGCCTAAATCGATACCGAGCCTAACTTAGCTCAAGGATGACTCAATGCAAATTGGTTATGCATGAGTGCCCTCATGCTGCTCTAGCTTAGGATAAAGCACATTGTACAACAAAGGATCTATATGTACATGTACATTCGTGTATTACACGCATGTACGAGGGAAAATCCACTGCTAGGGAAAATTCGTGATATTGTAGCGTGGGCGTGCAACAGCAAAAGAGACAAGACTTTAAAATCAGACTTTGCCGGCCATTAACAATCAAGTTTTATTTAGAAAATTACCAAAATTATTAACTGCCTTTCCTACAATTATTGGCTGGATTTAGGGCGGTTCATGGCAAGTTGTGAAATGCAAACAGGACTTGGTGACTGGTAAAGAAATAAAACAAATTAACCAGAGGCAATTAAAACCAATCAACTTACATGAAAATCTCTCCAAACCCAGGTATGGCGAGAGCCTTGCCCTCCACTAGATGTTACCATACCAAACCCAACTGCTGGATTCCCCCCAAAATTCCAAGCACCTAGGTCTTAACTGGGCCAACACCCAGTGTAGGGAACCCAGACAAAGGAACTATGCAAATCAGCAAAGCAAGAAACCTAATGGGTGAGGGATACTGGGTTTAGGCGTGCCCACTAGAATTAGTAACAAAAGGATAGGCCTACATGTAACAAAAGGGGTGGGATGACCGGATGGACTGGTCCACATCTTCCTCAGAGGGGGAAAGCTATGGGTGGACTATACCATTGACGTACGGGTCTCCGATTTTACTACAATAACAATATATGAACCTCTAACCAAGTCAAATTTAGCAGTGAAAATGTTGAAGCATTTTCTCGGATAATATGTACAATGTTTCGAGACCCGTCTGTGCCAGTTTGTGCACAGAGGTGTGAAGTGATGTCCGGATATGGAAGTTTCAAATTTCCTTCTCTTCACTGAGATGAGCGATAGGTTCCCTGATCAGGTGTGGAGTTGAAGTGTTGATGTGTTTGAGAGACAGCACCCAATTTGTTATTTATACTTACTGTCACACAGCTGTTCGCATAGTGTAACAATCATGTATTACAACATTTGTTAATTGGGAGGAGATAGCTGCAATAGGATCTATCTAGGGTAAATGCATTTCATATTTGAAAATATCAAACACAATTCTACACCTTGATGTTTGAATTCAGTTGGAGGATAAGAAGAAAAATGGAGATTTGGACTTTCTGTCAGCAACCAAAATTCTCGTAAGCACTGTACAAGAGCGTAAAACCGGCAGCCCACTACTCGTGAACCCCTGGCTGTTCCGGCTGAGTTCCTTGTATCCTGATTGGAAGCGAGCCTGTCAGTATGTACATCGAATTGCAGATGAACTGATAGAAAAAAGGAAGAAAGAAATATCTGAAAAGGTAAAAAGCATTCAATTATTCTGCCCTGATGAAGTCAAGCTCCCTGACTTCACAGCTGCAATCATGAAAATTTGCTGAACTAACATCATAGCGTACTGCAAGTTGACAATCTGTCACTCACCAATCAACTAACTCCAAATAGCATTTATTCCTAAATGAGAAATGAGCCATCAGCACACATAAAATACGTCTTCAGACTGTGTTTACATTTGTTTTAAATTATTTCAGTGGAATTAATTAAAAATGTGAGTCGTGACTTGTTAGCACAGTTTTTCATTTTGAAATATTGAAACCATTAATTTTTGTCTTCAGATGTAACAATCTCGTTTTTTATTGTCGGCCAATGCACACCTTTGTACTTTGTATTATGTACTGTCGTTTACCAGGCAGAGGGTGGAGATCCTTTTGTCAAGCCCCGTGATTTCTTGGACACACTCATCCTGGCTTGCGATACTGATGGCAAAGGGCTGACAGTCCAGGAAATGACTGACGAAGTCAACATATTCCTGTTCGCTGGCCATGAAACCACGGCTACTACCACTACCTGGTTGCTGTATAATCTGGCTAGATATCCTGAACACCAGACAAAAGTCAGAGAGGAAGTGGACAAGATACTAGAGAAGAGAGACTCAGACAGAATCAATAGGTATAGACACCCAGATGATGTCAATACTGCATCGTTACCACTGTTCCTTTTTAGGTTAACCAGACAATCATTTCTACACTCGATCAGAGAAAACCCTGTATGCCCATCTGAGCTTGCCCCCTTCTTTACCATATTTCATAAAATTGGGCAAAAGTATAAGATTTCTCACTCGTTTTGCTTTATAAGCACAATCTTGATTATTTGTATTGTAACCTGATGTTCTGCCGAGAAAGTCAGTGAAATTCTTGTAATAGAAAACCAGACTTGGGAGCTGTGTTTATTTGTACTTGCACACTTATTGCTTATTGTTTGGCATCATGTTACAGCGAAGATCTGAGCCACATGGAGTATATGTCTCTAGTGATCAAAGAGACACTGAGGATGTACCCTCCTGCTGTTCTGCTGTCCCGCACGCTGACAGCTCCTTACGATGTAGATGGTGTCATTCTCCCACCGGGCACGTTAGTTGCTTTCAACACCTACCAGCTCCATCACAACCCAACGGTCTGGGGTGAGGACCACATGGACTTCAAGCCCTCTCGGTTCCTGCCAGAGAATTTCACCAAGATGGACCCTTTCAGCTATGTTCCATTCTCAGCCGGCCCCAGAAACTGTATTGGACAGCACTTTGCCTATAACCAAATCAAAGTGCTGGTGGGACGAATTTTGAGGCAGTTCCGACTGAGTTTAGTTGACGGTGAGCCCGAGCCGGTTCCTCATCTGACAATTGCCTTAAAACCTTTGCACGAGGTTATGATTGCTCTTGAGCCACGATATTAAAATGAAGTTATCGGGAATATATGTGAGGGATGGAACATAGTTGATGGGCATTCCTTACGGATTATGCTAAGCTAAAAGTCTTTTTCTGCGAGTACATGTAACTATGGGTTATGTTGGCATTTATGGAAAGAAGTTTTATTTTATGCTTATGCTCTGCACATATTTCACTTTTTTCACAGCATTCATTGCCTATCTAGCTAGTAATGACAGTGGTAGGATTGCGAGTTTGTTGATAAACCAGAAGAGATTATTTGCAAACTCAGTGTGGAACATTTCCCTAGTGATGTTGCACGAGAAAAAAAAAGGGAAGAAAATGTTGTCCCAATCCAATTTACATGTAGGTTGAGGTTGCCTACATGGAAGACTAATAAAAAGGAAAGAGGGAGGTGCAGATGCATAGCTGGGGTTTTGTTGACCCATTGACAAATATTACTTTTGTCTTGTTTGAAGTAAATAAGATGGGGCTATGAATACAAGTAAGGCAGAGGTGGATTCGCTGATTTTTTTGTAACACAGTAGTCAATGTAATATTTTTTCCCCACATGAATTTGTGTTGACAATCCATTTTCCATTCCAATTTGACACTCTCAGCGCCAGCCTGGAGTATGCATTCCAGGCCACTTTGTACCCGCTTGATGGAGAGAGATGCAACACAAACAAACCATAAACGCAAAACAAAACAAAACAAAAGAAACATTGAGGGAAGGTCACCCTTATTTTACAATAATGTTCCATGTAGGCTAGGGGTGTGCATTTGCGGGTATTTTTAGAGCCGGGTACCCGTTTTTTGTTAACATGAAAAGAGATCGCCCAATAACAAATGGCATTGTGCGCAACCCGGTGGATCATGTGCCCGAAACACGGTTCTTTTTGGTACCTACGAAGCAAGCAGAACATTGTTCTAAACGTCGGAGATAATCTCTCTTACCCTTTTATCAAACGAAATTGTTACCTTCAGTTTGCAAATTTTTTGTGGGTGTATGAAACAGAAAAACAAGTCTTCACGGGAAACGTTAGAAAAAAGAACAGAGCTGCAAACCACGTACATGATATACGCACCTGC